CATCCATTGTCCTTTCCCTTCTCCCATTTCCTTCCTGGTTCCCACCTTTCCGCCAGAAAGGAAAACCAAACAAAGGAGAGCGGACAAGCGGTGGGAGAGGAAGGGCACAAGGTGAGTGAAGAGGAGAACACTTCTCTGTTGTCTTCCTCCACAAGCTCTTCCTGGTTTATGAACAATGAGACAGTCAGATGGGAAAAGAACAAAGAATGAACAGACGCGGAGGGCAAGGCACTTTCGACTGCTTTCTGCATCGCCTCCTCTTTTTCCCCCACTCGCTGTCTCTCTCTTTGACTATCTTTCCCTCTTACTTTCTGTCTTTGTTTCTGTCTTTATTTCCTTATGGCCCTCGTTCTCCTTCTGCCCTTCTCGGATTCTCTCTCCGTCTCTGCTGTCTTTCTGTCAGTCGGTCAGTCAGCCAGTCAAACAGGTGTTCGTCTGGCGGTCGGTTGGTCGGTCAATCAATCAGTCGACTCGCTGCTCCCGATCAGTCAGTCATGCAGTCAGTTATCCGCCAGTTTGGGCCTTGCTTGTTGGCACCTTATTCCCCAAGAGCGGGTACGCTTGGGGTTTGCAATTTGGTAAGTCCAAGGTCGTTGACTAGATTTCAGGAAGGCCTTCGCGGAAATTTGAAGAACTTGCGTGCGCTACTATAATTTTTTTCTTCCGCAATTAAACGTAGTCTTCGGGGAGCGCACAGAGGAAGGAAACTAGCGCCGTGCAGTCTGAGAGTATGAAACGTGCCTTGCTTTGCGGCCGGGAGGGACAGTGTGCCGCCAGTACTATAATTTTTTGTGCCTCGGCAATTTGAAAAATAGTCTTCGGGGAGCGCGCCGACTGCACCGAGGAAGGACAACTAGCGCCGAACAGTTTGAGCGTCCGAAACGTGCCTTGCTCTGCGGCTGGGAACGAGGAGACAGTGCTTTTGCGATGCCGGGCAGTTTGAACGTACGAGATGTACCTTGCTTTGTGGACGGGAGGGAGGAGAAAGCGCGTTGTCAAGCCTTCCAAAACGGAGCAAACAGTGCGCTTTCGGTACCTTCCAAAACGCACTTAGCTTGCCGTCCATGATTCTCGGGGCCAAGTAAAAAGTAGTCTTCGGGAGGGCACAAAGGAAGACAAATAGCCCCGAAACGTACCTTGCTTTGCGGCCGGGAAGGAGGAGGCAATGCATTTTCGATGCCTTCCAAAACGCACCTCTAAAGGCACCGAGGAAAGAAACAGTGCCGGGCAGTCTGACCGTACGCACCATACTTTGCTTTGTGCACGATTTGATGCCTTCTAAACGGAGCAAGCAATGCATTCAATTCTCGATGCTTTCCAAAGGGCACTTAGCTTGCCCAATTACAAAGTCCGCCACCACAACTCTTTGTGTCTCGGCAATTGAGAGCGTAGTCTTCGGAGAATGCACCGAGGACGGAAAATAGCGCCGGGCAGTCTCAGCATACGAAACACACGTTGCCTTGCAGAAGAAGAAGAAAAAGTGTCACAATCGATGCCTGGTCTGTTTTGCATTCAAGAACTTTTTGGCATTCATGGATTGTGATTTCTTAGCCGACCTGAACAAAGCTGAAGAAGCTACAGCACCGATCGACGACAGGGTTGATGGACCATTTCATGAAAGAAGAGAAGCCCGAAGGCGGCCCGAAGGGTCAGAAGAATGAAGCTGTACTCAGTGCTTAGCAGCTACTTGAGCAACAGTTGTTCGCGTCTACCCTTTCCTGCTTACCTCTACCCTTAGACTAATTGGGAAGCGGGAATGACCGGGAATGCCTCCCGCAGGGTTGGTCCTGAAGGCCACGGTGAAGGTGACAAGAGACCTCCGACTTCTGCGCCCAGAACCTCCCAAAAATTCTCCACGCCGTGCCAGCAGAGCCCAAGCCCGACTTTGGAGAGGAGGAAGACGGAGCCGTGCCAGGTATTCAGAGGGTCGAACGAAATCATTAGCTTTATTCTCTCCTTGTTGCTGTGCCTGAAGGGGATTCTAGCCAGACTTGGAAAGAGGAACTTGCACGATAATTGTAAATGCTTGCCAGGAAACATAGACGATGCACCGCGGCGACATCCAGGCAGAGACTCACTCCGCAGATTTTGACCGAAGAAGCGCGAACAGCAGTGTTGAGGAGCAGCAAGCCCCGAAATGATGGTTGCAACGAGGTAGCGCTAGTGGTTACTAGGGGGGCCTAGGGTGTTTTGGATACACGGGCTAGCTGCACGGTAGTTGGAAGCCAGCGGGTTCGTCAATCCTAGATGGGCCAGACGCCGAGTGCCAAGATGGTGCCCCAAAGACACCGTCGGACATTGCCTCTAAATTTGGCGACAGCGGCACACTGCATTTTTCAATTAAAGGAAAAATATCGGAAAACTTGGTAATGAACGCGCTTGACAACGCGCAGCAAGTTGTGAAGCGCCACGGCTTTTCGGAAGCAGCCGGCACCTGAGGTGAGCAAAGCTCGGGATCAGCAGACTGACGCCTCGCGGGGAGCTATCTTCGAGAAGTCTGATGTTCCGCATAGGGGTCTGGTGTACTTTAAAGATGGGGATGAGGTTGTAAAGCAGATTTAAACGCTGATTCCACAATTTCAAGTCAAGCATGTGGTGACCGCACATGGCACCAAGCGCGTCCAGCCGCGAAAGCCTGGTCTCGAGATACAGGACATTCCTCTTCGGCTTCTCGGGATAATGGTAAGGTTATTTCCTGTTCCACAAACGTGCAATACAAAATCGAGCGCACAAAAATTTTCTGCAGGCCTCTGGAGCCGCAAGCCTTCAATAGGAGACATGTATTGCACCATGCACACACCTCGATTTGTCATCGCACTCAACCAACTTCACCGCCATGAAAAATTGGTTGTTGTGAAAAAGGAAATAAAGTGATAATCACAAGTGATGAGTTCACTTATGCCTGATGACGGTTGTAAGTCATGGGCAAAGAGTCCAAAATAGAAGCCTCGGTCGTCGAGGAATACCGGCAAGAGTCAGTCTCACGGCATACGGCTCAGAGTTTCTGCAAATCAGGGGGCAACGGTGGACGCACCAATGTCTTGTAGTGAGCAGCCTACATTGCCTTCTGGTGATTTCCTAACTGCTTCTGTCGCCGATGCCAGAACACCTCCGAATCCCATTCTTCGCTGCACCCTTCGACACGTTGATGACTTACTTTATGGAAGGATCATAGAGCAACTTCGGGACATCTACAGTTTCGGGTCTTATGACGAAGGCGAGTTTGTATTCACAGGAATCCGTTTTCGACAGTGGGACCATGGAAGCATCGAGATGGATCAAGTTGACTACATTGAGAGGATATCTCCCTTTCATGTCCCTAGGGACCGTAGGCTTCGACCTGAGGATCCTCTGACGGCTTCCGAAGTCTATGAGTTGCGTCGTCTTAACGGCAGCCTTCAATATGCGGCGGTACACAACAAACACCAGAACAGACATAGCGGCAAAGGTTGGGTTCCTCCACATGGTCACTAAGGGTAGCGTCAAGCACTCGTTATAGGCGAACAAGGTGAATAAGGTTTTGCATGACGCGAAGTCTCACACTGTGTCACCCATGACTCCTGACAAACATGTTACTTTCTGCACATTCTCAGATGCTTCGTTTGCCTCGTCCAAGGATAACAACTCGTATCAGGGGTCTTTGGTCATCGCTCCGGGTTGGCGTATGCTTCCGAGTCAGACTTAAGCTGTCATTGTTCCAGTGGCGTGGGCTAGCAAGACAATCTCCCGAGTCGTGTGTAGCAGTGTAGCACTTTAGGCGTGGAAGTGGTAGCCATGCCTGCGGACTGTCTTACCAAGGTCGTGGATAGTTCGATTCTTCCTACAGTCCTTGGTGCAGGGGAGTACGCTCTGTATGATGAGCAGCGCAAAGTAGCTGACAGAGCAGGGCAAAAACGGTCGCGACAATGGCTCTCACCGGACGAACCGGCATAATTCGGAATCTGCGAAGAAAGACGTCAAAAATACCTTGTTAGTGAGTGTTAAACCGACGCCAAACCACAGGTGCATCAGTCGAAGATTCTGGCCATCCGGCTCAACAGCGGCAAAGAAGGGAGGGCAGAGGCTCGCTTGAGCTGCAAAAGGAACAGGGTTTCCGGAGAAGGGGCTACTGTATGAGAAACGAGGTTTCCTGTTCAGGTTCGATCTGCAGACGGCGGGGCCGCTCTTCACGGGCAGGCCTGGGGCTTGGCACTCTGTGCGTTCTAGGGCCTCTTAAGACTACAGGGTTTAGGGCTCAGGTGATGACGATGACGCTGATGGTACCAATCAGGTCGTTGCAATCTGAGCTGAAACCTTTTCCCCAAATCCCGACGCATCTAAATCTTCAGCCAAATAATTCCTGAGCCTTGTTTGCACCGTCCCGACTGACAGGTCTGGGAGTGAAAGCCGTAGCATGAACAACAAAAGCCTGAACCCTGAAAAGCGGCTAACATTCTGTAGAGGAGAGTTTACCTTCGGGACAGCAGGGTGCCTTTCGCATCGCTACACGCGTCAGCCTTTTGCACATTCCATTCTTTGCAAGAGCGTAAACACTGGAGGGTGCTCTGCTTTCGCAGGCCTCCAAGAAGACTGGCACCAGGAAGGCCAGCCAGGCGGCATTGTCCCAGGCTTCGGCTCCCTTCGAGTTCGAGACTCCCAAAGCACCGGCCGCTCCTCGGACGCCGCAAAGAGAGAAGCGAGAAAAGCAAGAAAAGCGAGAAAAGCCGGGCAAGCGAGAACCGAGAGCACCCGAAAGAGTGCCAGGCTTCCGTAGACAGGCTCGCGCCCTCCAGGGCCCTCTTGCAAGGGCTTGCGCTCTTCCATTCCAAGAGGCTGCAAGCAGCGCTGCTGCGCTGCCCTGTTATTACATGGATGTTCGATCTCAGGCTTGAGCCAAAGTGGGAGAGACAGGAGGACAGCCAGGTTTCGGTCGAAACCTGCTGCAGTTGCTCCACGGTTCCACGCCCCAGCTCTGGCTCTGCAGCTCTTTCTCCCTTGAACCTGTCGGTGGCATCTTACCATCACCTCCTGACCCAGGCAACTCGCCACTGAAGGCATGGAAAACATGGAACTTCGTGCTCCAACGACTGCTCTTTGCTGGCCTTCGGCTGCCGGATCGCCTACCAGGCTGATCCACGCAATTGAGCGGCAGAGACAGCAGCAGGGGCCGCCAGCTACGCAACAACGCCCTGCACTGCCCTGCACTAGAACCTTCAGAAATGGGACCTGCGGTCCCGGTCGCGCCGTCGGCTGCGGCTCCTCGCAGTCGGCGGCGAGAGCCCCAAGTGAGTCTCGGGCAGAAAATTTCGGGTCTTCCGTATTCCCGGACGCCGCTCCCGCGCTTGGACACATCGCGCTGATCCCAAGACCTCTCTGCGGCGCGCGCGCGCGCGCGGTGAGGACCCGTCGTCCCCGTCTCTCCCTCTCTGCTAAAGTTGGCTGTGTCCGCTTTCGCTTTAAGCAGCTGCCGTGCTGTGGCGTTTCTCGTCTCCGACCTGTTCCAGCTCACCCCAGGCCCCAGCTCGCGCGCAGAGCCAAATCGGCGAGTTTGGAGCTCGGCGGAGCTCAAGGACACGAGTAGAGTGTCTAGAGTCTCGAGTGCAGTGCAGAATGTCTCAGTGACGGCGTTTTTCTTTTTTTTATGTTCAGGACCCGTGTAGCCGTGTAGCGTTTACGTGAGCATTGAGTTACCAGGCTCTCGACCCGAGCCTCCGTGGGGACGAGATGGATGCACTCCGGGATCGCGACCGCTCCGAGCGCCCCTGCCAGTGGCACACAGCTGTTTTTGTGCCCCAAACGCGGAGTCACAGCAGCCCCGAGTCCTCGGCTGCTGGCTGCACCTCGCGCTCTCCGCGCCATCTCCGCTCTCCCCGCGGCTCTCCGGGTGCCCGGCTCGAGACTGCGAGTCGCCACCGGCCTCCAAAGAAAGCTGCACCACTGCACTTCAGACTTCCGAGTGGAGAAGCAGAGCGCGCTGCGGCCTTGCGCACTTTGCGTGCGATGGGCTGGTGCTTGGCATTCAGGGCCACCTCGCGGCCCGCACCGGGCGTGCAAAGCCGTGCAAACCCCCTGGGTTGATGTGGGCCTTGAAGTGAACGCCGTCGCTCACCTTCACAACATGCTGACAAAAGTGCAAGAAGAGAGGGGGGGGGGAAAGGGGGCGCGGAGCAGCCGAGCTGCGTTCAGGTCGGTGAATTGATCCCGGTGGATCACCACCTTGCAGCACAGGGCCGCAGCCAGAAGGCCCTCTTACAGCCCAGCCCTCTTCCTCTTGCTGCCTCTTGGCCATAGAGCTGCCGCGTCTGTGCGCAGCTCAAGAAGCCAAAGCCCAGTTCCTCGGGCGCGCGAGCCATTCCGAGGTCACAAACGCTCTGCTCTGAGGACCAGGCAGGCTGGAAGCTGGTGACGAATCCCAGGTACCTCGCTCTGCGCGCTGCGACGACTCGACGACGACCTCTACGACCTCTTGTGACTCGTCCGTACTTTCTCTTCCTGCCGCACGCTGCAGTTCTATACCCTCGGCCCCGGGGGGCGCTCTACATCGGACTCCGGTGTGCCGGGTGCCGGCAGCGGTGCTTCCACCTGACACCGCTCAGGCGGGTCTTTTGCTGGATAGGGCATAGGGTCTTCTCTGTTGAACAAGGGCTGTTTTGCTGGACAAGTGTTTTTTAGAGCTCTCATTTCGCTTGGCTTTCCTTGGTTTGGCGTGGCCCCGCGCCGCGTCCCACGCTTACTGGTTGAAGGCATATGTTGTTTGTTCCTGTTGAGTTCTGCCTCTTTCCTCCATCTTAAGACTGACAAGCTTCCAGCGAGTCTGCGGGGCCCAAAAACCCTGCACCCGCACCCTTTCAGTCCTTTCATTGTCGGCTGTTTCTTCATGACCGAGCTGGGACAAGTCCCGTCTTGGTGCAGGCTTGTCCTGCATTTCCCACATCTTCGATGTGTCAGGGGGCTTGACGAATGATCATGTCTAAATTACGAATTAAGCACCACTGAATTCCTGTCGGGCGGGCCTCCATGAGCCTCTGCCGCTCCTGGCAGACCAGCAACAGTGGGGCGGGACCCGACACCGCCAAACGGTTCGGAAGTTCCTGCGTCAGCGCTTCCAACTTGCGAGCAAATGAAACCTGCAGTTGGCACGCAAAATTGCGGAACGGTGGAGTAAGGCTCGTATCGCGGAGATCATGGATGCTCATCAATGCAAACTCAGAGCCACCTGAGGGATGCCCAATTGATTCTGCGCAACTTTGAAGACGACGGAGTCACCAATCTGACACCGCTTGCAAGAAGTCTCGCCGTTCGGCTCGGTCCTAGCGGGCACCTTCATGCTGCCAAGCTGGTCCTTCAAGATCTGGACCTCCCACAGGCAGAGGTTGAGAGGAGAGCGGGATCAGAGGTGAGGCTCGGACATTCGTCGGAAGCTCCTGCGCCTGTATAGCTCCAATCAAAGCCGCGGAAGATTTGATCAACCGAGCCACCACACCTGAGCGTAAGAGCGAAGCACACGCTGGAGACACGGCTCACGCGGTCTGTGACCTCGTATGCCGCGACGCCCCGCATGGATATGGATCTCTGACTCGCGGCCGCTGGCTGTAACCGGAATGATCAGTGCAAATTGAGTCGGATGTATGTGAGACTTTGGGAACTCGTGGCACTTAAAGCGGGTCCGTGTCCGGGCGCGCACCGTTTGGTGGCGCTCGGAAGGCTCCGCTCCTTTCAGCTCCGCAAAACCGGGTCCTCGATCTCCTTCACCACGTCCTCCCGAAACTCTGTGAATCGCTCTCAAGAAGGCAGAAAGCGCCGAGGGCACTGAATGCACGCTCAGCCGCGGCTATTAGCCCCTGCGCCTTGCCAACTTCCATGGCGCGTCTCAGGTCCTTGATCCGAATGTCCCTCTCCCAGGAGGCGACCTAACCGCCGAACCGCGACGAAGGCGCAACCCAACACTCCGCCCCGCTACGGCTCCGCGCCGCTGAGCCTCCGGGCAAGCTCCCGACCTTGCGATGCCAACCTCTGCCGCTCTTCTCGCCGAGCCTTCGTCCTCAATGAAAAAGCCCATGTCCAAGACATGGCAGGCAAGGACCCATGTGCCACCAGACATGCTGGAGAGTGTTGGGCTACGTTATCATATTGCGAAAGACTCGGGTGTGTGTGTGTGTATATATACACCTGTATATATATATATATATACATATAGATATGTGTATATATTGCGCGAGGGCTTGATATTGATGTTCTCTTCCTGTCGTTCACCTCGCCGAGCTTGTATAGTTGTCATTGTGATTGCCGTTGTAAAACTTCTTGTTGAGGCTCACTATCACACAGTTCCTTCACTCTCCAGCAATGCTGCGCATGCTTTTTTTCGTGACCGGCGGAGCTCTGCTCTGGCCCAATGCCAGGGGAATTTCTCGTAACACCTGAATCTCTGGCACACACAGTAAGCTGTGCTATTGGCAAGTTTTTGCGCCACAACGCTGTGGTTGTGGCGGGGCACTCAAACGAAGCACCCTGCAATGGTTCGCGCAGGCTGCTCAACAGCTTGTGTGACCTTCTTCTCATAGCTCACATATACATGCTCAAGTTGACTCAAGTTGTGACACCCGAATTGCACGAGGCATCGAGGTCTGTTCGCACCCCCCATGAGTTAGACCTTAGGTCTTGCTCACGTAGGAAGAGAGTCGCGAGTTGACCGAAAATGAGTGTCTTACCCGCTGCAACTTCGCGACATTTGTTACGAGCTTTGCATTCCCAATTAGAAAGCTGTGACACTTCTCTACGTCAGTAACGATCCCCCGAAAATACGCATCAGGATTCAGGATCAGAAAGTTACCGAAGAAACCGGCAGGGTGATGAACATCACATAGATGTTGCCAGTGTCACACGAGGGCCGAGATGGAAGGGTTTTGTAGGCATAGGGGTTCCGCAGGTGTGATCACGATGCCATCGTTGGTACCGATTGCTTTGTGTTTGGCACAAAACGACAACTTGTCACCAACAAGCTCACAACGTCAGGAAAGTTGGAAATCACACACCCACCTCCGACTCATCTTCCAGTAGCATCGACACTATCAGCGGCCTTGACCAGGAGGACGGCGTGTCAAGAGAAAAGTAGATATGTGGCAACTCCGCACTCTTCTTGAGTAAGCGTCTGAGAGATTTCAGGATCTTCAGGAAACGTTTATACTTTCCCACCGAAAGACTTTCACCCCCAGACGATTCGGTAATAAGACAAAACCTGATCGGAGAACCACCGCTACGAAACGCACAGGTGTCTGCAGGTCGTTCTTGCATAAGTCCTGGATTTAAGCCACAAGAGAGTCCTCCTGAGCAGCAGTGCTTGGTGATCAGGGCATACCGCTTCATGACCTTGGGGCTGGCCTTTTTCCGTACATTGTCATCGAAGTCAACCATGACGTGCTCGACAGTACCCTTTGGTTGCTTGGCCGGCATGGAAACTAATCTCCCGCCATTCGCCTTGAGTGACAGAGACTTAAGTAGCCTCCTGGAGACTTGATTGGTTCTCTTTCCCTTCACATCATCTCTCTTATAGTCTTTGTCATCGGCATGCACACGCAATGCTTGACACTGATCCGAAGGCTTAGGCTTGAGCTTGGTGCGCGCAGCAAACAACTCCCATTTTCCCCGGCAGTAATTGAATAGCACCTGCTCTTCGTGGTCCAGACCTACGAGTCGCCGCCCATGCGAACACCCATCGACCTTGATGTTCTTCCACAATTCGCCGTCGGAGAGCAGCTTTTCCTAGTACTCCGCGCCGACGAATATCGCCGAATTCTCGGAGCGTTGCCGTGATCGGAGCACATCTGCTTGCCAGCGCACAAAACGTTTCACCTGCGTGTTGGAATCGTACTAAGGCCCTGGTGAAAATTCCCTAGCACAATCAATGCCCTGAGCAAACTCGTTCCACCAATTGTCGTCATCAACCCCGATCAGAGACCACTTCCTTGGGGCGTCGACGATCGAGATCTTGTAACGCATCTCGTTCCCTCTGTCGGTATATAAGACTACACAAGATTCTTGTCACCGTCGAAGAAGTCGACCGCCAAGCCTTCTTTGTTTTCTTGGAACTCGACCACATGTGGTACGATCACTTTGCCATAGCCTTGTAGTTCTCGTTGTTTTGTAGACATGTCCTCCCACACATCTTCGACGATACCCCAAACAGCGAAGTGTTGGGGCTCTCAATTCAACGAAAGGGATAGTGTGACGCGCCTCACCGGGGACTCGCCGGATTTGTCTCCCTTCATAATCTCAATTTAAACTGTTGTCTGCGCTGTTGTCTCCGCTCTGTCTGAGTCTGGGAGCCGGATGCTGTGACGCGCCTCGCCGGGGACTAGCCGGATTCTTCTCCCCTTATAGTCTCAATTTAAACTGTTGTCTCCGCTCTGTCTGAGTCTGGTAGCCGGAT